ATATATATATTCAATATACAGATTCCAAGATGGCGTAGCAGTGCAGTCGTGTTCTCTGTTGTGTGTCCGTGTAAATAGCCTGTTTTTTGTATTTTTTTTTGTATTTTTGTTTGTATTTTACGTATATATTTCCCTTTCACACTTTTCATCCTTCTACTAAATATACTTTCCTGCAACCCGCCTCACTCAATGTGGAACGGATTCTATTATTTACTCACCTTTATCTAGAATCTCCAGTTGAAACTAGCTAGCCAGCTAACTAGCTAACTACCTACTTGCTATTAGCCACCGTTAGCGGTTTTCACCCAGAACATCAGATTTTCTGCCGGAATAGCTGAATCACTGGACCTTAACACTGGATTGCAACTAGCTAGCCGCAACCGAATGGATGTTGCTGTAGACTAATCACCACTGCCCCCGAAGCAAGCACCAGTTAGCCTTGAGCTAGCCTCGAGCCAGGCCCATATCCCGGCTATCTACCTCTTTGTCTACCGGACGGGAGTAGGCAGCTAACTAGCTACTAGCTATTAGCCACCATTAGCGTTTTTTCACCATTGTCTGTGGCCTGCACTACCTACCAGCCAGCTCTAGCCTGGACTATTATCGGCCAGTCTGCACTGTCTGCACAGCGTGTTAACGACCCAGAACATATCGGATTTTCTGCCGGAATCACTGGACCTTTATCACAGGATCATCGCAACTAGCTAGCTGCAACCGAATGGATGTTGTGGTTGGCTAATCAGCCTTGAGCTAGCCTCGAGTCAGGCCCATCACCCGGCTATCTACCTCTCTGTCAACCGGACTGGATCTCCTAGAGCCGACACGGAGCCCCGACGATCCATCACGACTGGTCTGCCGACGTAATCGTCTGTGGTTTCAACAGGCTTCCTGTTGCGATGACCACGAAGATCCATCTGCTAGCCCCGGCCCACTAGCACACGCAAACAACAGCCTTGCTTCCTGCTCGCTGTGCTGTAGCACCAATTCGAACTGCTCTCGGTCTCATATATTGCTGTTCATTGGACCTTATGATCACTCAGCTGCATAGCTGATGCCTGCTGGACTGTTCCTTTACACGGTACCCTGTCCTGTTTATCTGTTTAACCTCAGCCCAAACTTTCATCGCCATTACCAGTTGTTGTCTTAGCTCTCTCTAATAACACCTGTGACTGCTTTATGCCTCTCTCCCATATCAATATGCCTTGCCTATTGCTGTTCCAGTTAGTTCTTATTATACAATTTCACTGTAGAACCCCAAGTCCCTCTCAAACTGCCTCAAATAGCTCCCTTGTTCCACCCCCCCTACACGCCGAGACCGGCTCAATCGGTGCCTCCAGTGATGCTATCTCTTTCATTGTTACCCAACGCTTAGGTTTACCTCCACTGTACTCATATCCTTCCATATCCTTTTCTGTACATAATGCCCTGAATCTATTCTACAACGCCCGGAAATCTGCCCCCTTTATTCTCTGTACCCAACGCACTAGATGACCAGTTTCTTAAAGCCTTTATCCGTATCCTTATTCTACTCCTCCTCTGTTCCTCTGGTGATGTAGAGGCTAACCCAGGCCCTGCAGCCCCCATATCACTCCTACTCCCCAGGAGCTATCATTTGTTGACTTCTGTAACCGTAAAAGCCTTGGTTTTCTGCACGTTAACATCAGAAGCCTTCTTCCTAAGTTTGAGTTATTCACTGCGTTAGCACACTCCGCCAACCCTGATGTTCTAGCAGTGTCTGAATCCTAGCTTAGGAAGGCCACCAAAAACGTCCATCCCCAACTACAACATTTTCTGTCTAGATAGAACTGCCAAAGGGGGTGAGTTGCAATCTACTTTAGAGATAGCCTGCAGAGCTCTATCATACTATCCAGGTCTGTGCCCAAACAGTTTGAGCTCCTACTTCTAAAAATCCACCTTTCCAGAAATAAGTCTCTCACTGTTGCCGCTTGCTACAGACCCCCCTCAGCCCCCAGCTGTGCCCTGGACACCATATGTTAATAGATTGCCCTCCCATCTATCCTCAGAGTTCGTACTGCTTGGTGACCTAAACCGGGATATGCTTAACACCCCGGCCATCCTACAATCCAAACTAGATGCCCTCAATCTCACACAAATGATCAAGGAACCTACCAGGTACAACCCTAAATCCGTAAACATGGGCACCCTCATAGATATCATCCTGACTAACTTACCCTCTAAATACACCTCCGCTGTCTTCAACCAGGATCTCAGCGATCACTGTCTTATTGCCTGCGGCTCAAACGACCACCCCTCATCACTGTCAAACGCTCCCTAAAACACTTTAGCGAGCAGACCTTCCTAATTGACCTGGCCCAGGTATCCTGGATGGATATCGATCTCATTCCATCAGTAGAGGATGCCTGGTTGTTCTTTAAAAGTGCTTTCCTCTCAATCTTAAATAAGCATGCCCCATTCAAAAAATTCAGAACTAAGAACAGATATAGCCCCTGGTTCTCCTCAGACTTGACTGCCCTTGACCAGCACAAAAACATCCTGTGGCGTACTGCATTAGCATCGAATAGCCCCCGCGATATGCAACCTTTCAGGGAAGTTAGGAACCAATATACACAAGCAGTTAGGAAAGCAAAGGCTAGCTTTTTCAAACAGAAATTTACATCCTGTAGCACTAACTCCAAAAAGCTTTGGGACACTGTAAAGTCCATGGAGAATAAGAGCACCTCCTCCCAGCTGCCCACTGCACTGAGGCTAGGAAACACTATCACCACCGATAAATCTACAATAATCGAGAATTTCAACAAGCATTTTGCTACGGCTGGCCATGATTTCCACCTGGCTACCACTACACCGGCCACCAGCTCTGCACCCTCCGCAACTTGCCCATGCCCCCCCCCCCCCCCCCCCCCCCCCGCTTCTCCTTCACACAAATTCAGACAGCTGATGTTCTGAAAGAGCTGCAAAATCTGGACCCCTACAAATCATCTGGGCTAGACAATCTGGATCCTTTCTTTCTAAAATTAGCCGCAGAAATTGTCGCAACCCCTATTACTAGCCTGTTCAACCTCTCTTTCGTAACGTCTGAGATCCCCAGAGATTGGAAAGCTGCCACGGTCAAATACCTCTTCAAAGGGGGTGACACTCTAGATCCAAACTGTTACAGACCTATATCCAAACTGCCCTGCCTTTCGAAAGTTTTTGAAAGCCAAGTTAACAAACAGATCGCCTACCATTTTGAATCACACCGTACCTTCTCTGCTATGCAATCTGGTTTCCGAGCTGGTCATGGGTGCACCTCAGCCACGCTCAAGGTCCTAAACGATATTATAACCACGATCAATAATAGACAGTACTGTGCAGCAGTCTTCATCGACCTGGCCAAGGCTTTCGACTCTTGTCAACCACCGCATTCATATTGGCAGACTAAATAGCCTTGGTTTCTCAAATGACTGCCCTCGCCTGGTTCACCAACTACTTCTCAGATAGAGTTCAATGTGTCAAATCGGAGGGCCTGTTGTCTGGACCTATGGCAGTCTCTATGGGGGTGCCACAGGCTTCAATTCTTGGGCTGACTCTTTTCTCCGAGTATATCAATGATGTCGCTCTTGCTGCTGGTGACTCTCACATCCACCTCTACGCAGACGACACCATTTTGTATACATTTGGCCCTTCATTGGACACTGTGTTAACAAACCTCCAAACGAGCTTCAATGCCATACAACACTCATTCCATAGCCTCCAACTGCTCTTAAACACTAGTAAAACTAAATGCATGCTCTTCAATCGAATGTTGCTGGCACCCGCCCACCCGACTAGAATCACTACTCTCGACGGGTCTGACCTAGAGTATGTGGACAACTACAAATACCTAGGTGTCTGGTTAGACTGTAAACGTTCCGTCCAGACTCATATTAAGCATCTCCAATCCAAAGTTAAATCTAGAATTGGCTTCCTATTTCGCAACAAAGCCTCCTTCACTCATGCTGCCAAACATGCCCTGGTAAAACTGACTATCCTACCGATCCTTGACTTCGGCGATGTCATTTACAAAAGAGCCTCCAACACTCTACTCAGCAAATTGGAGGTAGTCTATCACAGTGCCATCCGTTTTGTCACCAAAGTCCCATATACTACCCACCACTGTCACCTGTACGCTGTTGTTGGCTGGTCCTCACTACATATTCGTCGCCAAACCCACTGGCTCCAGGCCATCTATAAATCACTGCTAGGCAAATCCCAGCCTTATCTTAGCTCATTGGTCACCGTAGCAACACCCACCCGTAGTATGCGCTCCAGCAGGTATATCTCACTGGTCATCCCCAAAGCCAACACCTCCTTTGGCCGCCATTCCTTCCAGTTCTCTGCTGCCAATGACTGGAACGAACTATAAAAATCTCTGAAGCTGGAGACTCTTATCTCCCTCACTAACTTTAAGCATCAGTTGTCAGAGCACCTTACCGATCACTGCACCTGTACACAGCCCATCTGAAATTAGCCCACCCAACTACCTCATCCCCATATTGTTATTTATTTTGCTAATTTGCACCCCAGTATCTCTATTTGCACATAATCTCTTGCACATCTAGCATTCCAGTGTTAATACTAATTGTAATTATTTTGCACTCTGGCCTATTTCTTGCCTTACCTCCATAACTTGCTACATTTGCACACACTGTATATATTTTCTGTTGTATTTTTGACTTTCTGTTTTGTTTTACCCCATATGTAACTCTGTGTTGTTGTTTTTATCGCACTGCTTTGCTTTATCTTGGCTCGGTCGCAGTTGTAAATGAGAACTCTTTCTCAACTGGCTTACCTGGTTAAATAAAGGTTGAATAAAAAATTAATACTGTATAGTGGACTTCCTACAAATGTTTCCCACAGAAATTAGACTCTTGTGAGGCTTTTTGTCCAATTGACTTCATTTATTCATCATGGCCCAAGTGTTTCTCCTCCTTTTGCGTCTTTTTCTATATATTTGCTGACAAGTTGTTCTCTCTCTCTGTCTCTCTATCTCTCTAGCATCTAACCCATGTGAAGAGAATGATGGGCGTGGCCCGTGCTCACACCTGTGTCTCATCAATTACAACCGTACTGCATCCTGTACCTGTCCACACCTCATGAAACTGTCCCCCAACAAACAATCTTGTGTCGGTGAGTGGGACAGCCATCTTCAATCCTGTAACACCTGTATCTAAAGAACCTACATTTCTTTTGACATATTTATGATTTCATTGGCATTTGTGAAGTATTGACTTGGGATTATGATTTGGGATAAACATCAGCATTTGCATGTCATATCTTACCCCCATTACTATATCTGACTAAAAAGGTCAACCGCTTCACAAATCAATGGTAGCCATTGATATTTCTCTCCCCATCTAATTTCTCCATAGTGTTGAAAAGGTTTCTCCTGTACATCCGGCGGTCAGAGATCCGTGGGGTGGATATTGACAACCCTTACATGAATGTCATGACGGCGCTGACCGTCCCAGACATTGATGACGTCACAGTGGTAGATTACGACACCCAGGAGGAGAGGATCTACTGGGCGGATGTAAAAACACAGACCATCAAACGGGCCTTCATCAATGGCACCCGCCTGGAGACTGTCATCTCTGGAGGTAGTTAATGGCTGAATCCCACATTTTTACCAGGGACCATAGGGCTCTGGTCAAAAGTAGTTCAGTATGTAGGGAATAAGGTTCCACTTGGGACACAGTCTGTCCTTCAAGTGTGTAACTCAGAGAGATAATAATGTAACAGAGGTGGTTGAGTCATGGTGAGTTACCTTGCCTAAGACGTGACGACTCGTGTTAACTCCCCCGAGCTAATTCCCAAGCTTTCGCTCAGTTGGCTAACATAGCTTTGTGGTGTGCAGGAACTCTGGGTACAATACTGTATAGGCCTTTAAATAACATAGTGCCAGGGCCTGCCACTCATTTGATTAATATGATGGACATTTTACATTTCAAGAGCTTGGGACATTAGTTTGAATTGCGTCAGCAATTTGTATCTATTATTTGTTTGAACTTAACAACATGAATTCGGGTATTTAGAGTACTATATAGTTAGAGAACATTGAACAGAACAAGGTTATGTCAATAACTCAATTTTGACAAAAATTCAAATAGAACCTTTTAGTCCCAAGCTCTTGGTTTTCTGATTGACATTGCAAAGGGATGAAACACTGAGTCAAGACAAAGGCAGGAAATAACTTATACGATCATTTGTTTTGCTGTGGCTTTGATGGGAATATCTGTTTTGCCAAATTGTATTGCATGAAAGTACATCAAAGCACAAAAGACAATTGTTGTTTTTCAAGAAGTGCCTCCTCTCTCCTTTCTCTGATGATTATCCACAGAGCACACCCTAATTCCCGTTCTTAAAATTTGTGCCGGAGATTTAATTAATGACTTCCTGATACAGAACAGAACAACAACCTGCCTGTATAAGCTTTTTGACACACTCCATTATAATCTTTACTTCGGTAACACATTATTTTAAGGGTCCATAATAAAGCATTTATAAACCATTTATAAAGGCATTTACAAACCGTTTGCTTAACCATTTATTAATCATGACTCCCACATTTGTAAATGTTAGGAAGCTAGTTATTCACACGTGTGTATATATATATATATATATAAATATATTTATATATATATATATATATATATATATATTTCACTAAACATCCTGTGTTGTGTGCTTATTATTTTACCAGGTACTGCTGGAATGTCTACCAATGGCATGCCCATCTTTTTGTGAGAAATTACCCTGGTCACTCAAAACATTTATAAAGTATTTATAAACTATAAATAGCGCTCACTTTAGATTAGGGACTGCAAAAATACTTTACTGATGATTAGTAAATGGTTTATAAATGTGGGAGTAATGATTAATAAATTATGAACACACACTTTATAAATGCCTTATAAATGGTTTATTACGGATTCTTAAAATAAAGTGTTACCTTTACTTCCTCTGTAATATATAGATTTTTTAAAATCCTCTCATCTTGTTAGGAAACATCAACAACAGGTCTGTATATTATCCTGTCTAACTGATGACCCATGTGATTCTGTAAAACTAGATGTTGGATTGACACCCTCGCTCTCTTTGTTATCCCCTCAGATATACTAAACTGCCGCGGGCTGGCATTAGACTGGCTCTCTAGGAACTTATACTGGCTCAGCTCAGAGAATGACGAATCTCAAGTCAATGTCGCTCGCCTGGATGGTTCCCTGAAGACCTCTGTCATTCATGGGATTGATAAACCAAGGTGCCTTGTCGTGCACCCCGCCAAGGGGTAAGTAGATTAAACCACCATCTGTGAACTTCATCATTATCTTCCGGGGCTCACCGTCAGCGTGGGATTAGGGAAAACAAAGACCTTCCATGGGTAGACAAGACACTTTGATGTTTTCATAAAAGTGCATTTCCAAGCTTCTGTCATGAAAAAAACTTTAACAATAGAATTTGCAGCAATTATTCAGTGGAAATATTTATTTTGTATGCAATTTTGCCACACAGTATCAACATGAAAAAAGTAAACAGCTCTCAGTAACTACAACTAAATGTATTCATCCTAATCAGACAGGTTTTTTACATGGACGATACATTGGAGATAATATAAGACAAGTACTGAAAACAATAGAACACTATGAAACATCTGGGAAACCAGGTCTGGTATTCATAGCTGACTTTGAAAAGGCCTTTGATAAAGTACGACTGGAATTTATATATACGTAAATGCATGGAATATTTACATTTTGGAGAATCTCTTATACAATGGGTTAAAGTTATGTATAGTAACCCCAGGTGTAAAATGGTAAATAATGGCTACTTCTCATAAATAATTAAATTGTCAAAAGGAGTAAAAAAAGGCTGTCCTTTATTGACATATTTATTTATCTCATCGAAATGTTAGCAATTGAAATCAGATCCAACAATAATGTCAAGGGGCTAGAACTCCAGGACTTAAAAACAAAAGTGTCATTGTACGCTGACGATTCATGTTCTTTTAAATACGCAATTTGGATCCCTGCACAGCCTCATAGAGGATCTAGATCATTTTTCTAACCTCTCTGGATTAAAACCAAAGTATGATAAATGCATCATATTACGTATTGGATCTCTAAAAAATACAACTTTTACATCATCATGTAGTTTACCAATAAAATGGTCCGCCGGTGAAGTGGACATACTCTGTATTCATATCCCAAAATAAATTAATTATTTCACAACAATACATTTTAATAGAAGTTAGCCAAATTAGTTAAGATGTTGCTACCATGGAAAGGACAACACCTGTCTATTTGTAGAAAAATCAACCTTATGCATATCCCAGTTTATCTAATTACTTATGGCCCTGCCTACACCTAACAACTTGTTTTTGAAATTGTATGAGCAAAAAAATATTCCAAAAAACAAACCACACTAAATTAAACAGGCCTATTTATATAATGAATATGAATTCGGAGTACAGAAATGATAAAATATTAAAGCATTGGACCTTTCACAAAAGGCTTCAGTCATACAAAAACTATACTTAAATCCAAACTGGTTCTCTAGCAGATTAGTAAAAATGCTCACCCCATGTTCAAGAATGGCCTTTTTCCCTTCATTCAGATTACAACCTCTCACTTTTGGTTATTTGAAAATTAAAATATCGCTATTTTTAAAACAAGCAACAGAAAACTGGTTGCAATTTCAGTTTAATCCACCACAAAAGACAAAAAAAGAAAAAAAGAAAAGAAACAAATATTAGAACATGTATTATGGTTAAACTTAAATGTACTAATTGATTAAAAACATATATATATTTTTGGAATAAATGTTTAAAAACTGTATAATCTGTGTAAATTATATCATGAATAGGACTGGTGGAGTTATGTCACACATGCAGTTAAACATACATGGAAATGTCTGCTCTATTCAAAATTACAACCAACTGATTGCAGCATTACCGCAAAAATGGAGGAGGCAAGTGGAAAGGGGAGAAGGTAAGGAACTTATCTGTCGGCCCTGCATTAAAGATCAAAATTGGCTAAAGAAAATTGTGATGAATAAAAAACTATACCAGATTAATTTAAGGACCCAAAAATGGACAGCTGCACCATACAGGTTGCAAAATAATTAGGAGATTTTTGGTGTACCGATTCCATGGGACATGGTTTATGAACTGATACACAAAACGACGCCGGATTCAAAACTTATTATACAACATTTTTGCAACCAATAGAATTATACATATACAGTGCATTCGGAAAGTATTCAGACCCCTTGACCTTTTCCACATTTTGTTACGTTACAGCCATATTCTAAAACGGATTAAAGAAAATGTTTTCCTCATCAATCTACACACAAAGTGAAAACAGGTTTTTAGAATGTATTGCAAATGTATTAAAAATTCAGACCCTTTGCTATGAGACTCGAAATTGAGCTCAGGTGCATCCTCTTTCCATTGATCGTCCTTGAGATGTTTCTACAACTTGATTGGAGTCCACCTGTGGTAAATTCAATTGATTTGACATTATTTGGAAAGGCACACACCAGTCTATATAAGGTCCCACAGCTGACAGTAAATGTCAGAGCAAAAACCAAGCCATGAGGTCGAAGGAATTGTCCGTAGAGCTCCGAAACAGGATTGTGTTGAGGCACAGATCTGGGGAAGGGTACCAAAAATATCTGCAGCATTGAAGGTCCCCAAGAACACAGTGGCCTCCATCATTCTTAAAATTGAAAAAGTTTGGAACCACCAAGACTCTTCCTAGCGCCCGGCCAAACTGAGCAATCGTGGGAGAAGGACCTTGGTCGTGAGGTGAACAAGAACCTGATGGTCACTCCGACAGATCTCCAGAGTTCCTCTGTGGAGATGGGAGAACCTTACAGAAGGACAACCATCTCTGCAGAACTCCACCAATCTGGACTTTATGGTAGAGGGTCCAGACTGAAGCCACTCCACAGTAAAAGGCAGATTACAGCCCGCTTGGAGTTTGCCAAAAGGCACCTGAAGGACTCTCAGAACATGAGAAACAAGATTGTCTGGTCTGATTAACCAAGATTGAACTCTTTGGCCTGAATGCCAAGCGTCATGTCTGGAGGAAACCTGGCACCGTCCCTACAGTGAAGTACGGTGTTGGCAACATCATGCTGTGGGGATGTTTTACAGCGGCGGGGACTGGAAGACTAGTCAGGATCAAGGGAAAGATGAACGGAGCAAAGTACAGAGAGATATTTGATGAAAACCTGCCCCAGAGCGCTCAGGACCTCAGACTGGGGCGAAGGTTCACCTTCCAACAGGACAACAACCTTAAGCACACAGCCAAGACAACGCAGGAGTGGCATTGGGACAAGTCTCTGAATGTCCTTGAGTTGAACAGCCAGAGCCTGGACCCGATCGAACATCTCTGGAGAGACCTGAAAATAGCTGTCCGCATCCAACCTGACAGAGCTTGAGAGGATCTGCAGAGAAGAATGGGAGAAACTCCCCAAATACAGGTGTGCCAAGCTTGTAGCGTCATACCCAAGAAGACTTGAGGCTGAAATCACTGCTAAAGGTGCTTCAACAAAGTACTGAGTAAAGGGTCTGAATACTTATGTAAAAGTTATAAAAACCTGTTTTTGCTTTGTCATTATGGGGTGTTGTGTGTAGATAGATTTTTTTTGGGGGGGGAAATGATTTAATCAATTTTAGAATAAGGCTGTAGTGTATCAAAATGTGGAAAAAGTCATGGCATCTGTATACTTTCCAAATGCACTTTATATGGGGGGATACAAACGTCCCAGCTCTGCAGATTTTGCTTTGAAGAGACAAAATCATTAGATCACTTGTTTTGGTACTGCCCATATGTAGCTTGTTTTTGGTTGCAGGTTCAGGAATGGCTGAAAAAAATGCTACATTTACTTGGAGCTAACTCTGCAAAGAGCACTGCTGGGTGATTTGATAAGTCATAGTCAATTGATCAATAATATAATAATAGTCTTAGCAAAGGTGTTTATCTTTAATTTACAATCTGTAGAAACTATGAGATTAGAAAGATTCACAACTTTTGTGAAACATCCCAGCACAGTGGAAAAATACTGTACATGGCAGCTAGAAATCAAAACTAGATGGTCTTCAGAGATAGATGGGAGGGGTTGAGGGTAGCTGAACAGATAACTAATATAAAATATACTGTCCGTATACTGTCCGAATGTAGTAAACTGGAAGTGGAAGCCTAAGTATTGTTGTCCATTAGTTTACTTCAATTAGGGGAGGGGTGGAAGTGTAAATATACACTACCGGTCAAAAGTTATAGAACACCTACTAATTCAAGGGTTTTATTTATTTTTACAATGTTCTACCTTGTAGAATAATAGTGAAGACATCAAAACTATGAAATAACACATATGGAATCATGTAGTAACCAAAACATTGTTAAACAAATCAAAATATATTTTATATTTGAGATTCTTCAAATAGCTACCCTTTGCCTTGATGACAACGTTGCACACTATTGGGATTCTCTCAACCAGCTTCACCTGGAATGCTTTTCCAACAGTCTTGAAGGAGTTCCCACATATGCTGAGCACTTGTTGGCTGCTTTTCCTTCACTCTGCGGTCCGACTCATCCCAAACCATCTCAATCTGGTTGAGGTCAGGGGATTGTGGAGACCAGGTCATCTGAGGCAGCACTCCATCACTCTCCTTCTTGGTAAAATAGCCCTTACACAGCCGGGAGGTGTGTTGGGTCATTGTCCTGTTGAAAAACAAATTATAGTCCCACTAAGCCCAAACCAGATGAGATGGTGTATCACTGCAGAATGCTGTGGTAGCCATGCTGGTTAAGTGTGCCTTGAATTCTTAATAAATCACAAACAGTGTCACCAGCAAAGCACCCCCACACCATAATAATAACAATAATAACAACACCTCCTCCTCCATGTTTTACGGTGGGAAATAGACATGCAGAGATAATCCGTTCACCCACACCGCGTCTCACAAAGACACGGCGGTTGTAACCAAAAATCTCAAATTTTGACTCCAGACCATAGGACACATTTTCACCGGTCTAATGTCCATTGCTCGTGTTTCTTGGCCCAAGCAAGTCTCTTCTTATTATTGGTGTCATTTGGTAGTGGTTTCTTTGCAGCAATTCGACCATGAAGGCCTGATTCACTCTGTCTCCTCTGAACAGTTGATGTTGAGATGTTTCTGTTACTTGAACTCTTTGAAGCATTTATTTGGGCTGCAATTTCTGAGGCTGGTAACTCTAATGAACTTAACCTCTGCAGCAGAGGTAACTCTGGGTCTTCCATTCCTGTGGCGGTCCTCATGAGAGCCAGTTTCATTATAGCGTTTGATGGTTTTTGGACTGCACTTGAAGAAACTTTCAAAGTTCTTGAAGTTTTCCGGATTGACTGACCTTCATGTCTTAAAGTAATAAAACCTCCAACCTTGTCACAACACAACTGATTGGCTCAAACGCATTAAGAAGGAAAGAAATTCCACAAATTAACTTTTAACAAGGCACACCTGTTAATTGAAATGCTTTCCAGGTGACTACCTCATGAAGCTGTTTGAGAGAATGCCAAGAGTGTACAAGGCTGTCATCAAGGCAAAGGGTGGCTATTTGAAGAATCTCAAATATTTGTTTAACACTTTTTTGGTTACTACATGATTCCATATGAGTTATTTCATAGGTTTGATGTCTTCACTATTATTCTACAATGTAGAAAATAGTAAAAATAAAGAAAACCCCTTGAATGAGTAGGTGTGTCCAAACTTTTGACTGGTAGAGTATATATTTAAAATAACATATTTACAAAAAAATATGATATGGTGGATTGGAAATTATGCAGACAATTACATTGATAGAAGGCACAATCTATCTGCAAGATTAATGCTGATCTACCCCCTAAATTCAACAAATGCATTAAGAACTACAGTATAAGGAAATTATAAATAGAACTGTAAACATGTAATGTAATGTGTAATGTGTGTGTAACTGTATGCTTCTGATGTTCTTTAACTTTAGGAAAATCTACTGGACAGATGGCAACACGATAAACATAGCCAACATGGATGGGAGCAACAGCAAGGTCCTTCACCAGAACCAACGGGAACCAGTCGGTCAGTTGAACATTATAGCTCTGTTTGTTCAGACTGTGGAACACTACTGCATGTTCCAACACTATGATTCCAACATTATTTATCATGGGACAGATTCCACTGTCATACACAGGAGCAGTACAACAAGCTGGCAGTACCTGCCTTGGCCAATGTAGGGTGTACATTTGAGTACTTCCCTAGTCCTGATAACGAAAGGCCTAAAATGAACACCATACATATTTTTACCTGCATATCCCCTGATCATCAGCACTGGTTGATGTTTTTTTTCCTATTCTTAGAAAGCAAAATAAAAAATGGTTGGGGTTTAAATAATTTGCTACACTTGAACTAACTGAAAACCTCTTCTGCTGCCATACACAGTTGTTCAACCTGAACTTGTATACTCAGATGATACAAGCTTCAGTGAACAATTGTGCATCTGCAGGTTCATGCATCAAGCAGCTGTTCTGTTCTCACAGCGTAGGCAGACCTGCAAGGTCAAGTCTTCACTTTCTCAGTTAAACACAGTATCATTGTCTTTGATGGGTCTCAATCGGGTTGACTTGATGGGCTCTGTCAGAAATATAAATTGACGGTACTTCATTTATGATGATGGGCCGGACCTGGGGACGGAGTAAATTAATGATGTGTTGTGACTGTGAATCTGCCTTCCATAAATCCACACACAGAGAAAGCTGTTCCTAGACACAATTGAAATAGCCCCCAGTTGCCACCATCAATAGTGCCATTCTGTAAAATCCCATCATGTCCGCTAGAGAATGGTCAAATTATTTATAATGTCAAGTGAAGGTCATAGAGATATCCCAGGCAGGCCGCAACGAATCATTCCAACAACCACACACACACACGCACACACTCGCAAACACACAGGCACGCACACACTTGCAAACACAGACACATGCACACTCACACCACCACTCAATCCTATAGATACAAGTAAAGGCCCACTGTACAGTCGTGGTCAAAAGTTTTGAGAATGACACAAGTATTGGTCTTCACAAAGTTCGCTGCTTCAGTGTTATGAGATATTTTTGTCAGATGTTACTATGGTATACTGAAGTATAATTACAAGCATTCCATAAGTGTCAGAGGCTTTTATTGACACTTACATTAAGTTTATGCAAAGAGTCAACATTTGCAGTGTTGACCCTTCTTTTTCAAGACCTCTGCAATCCGCCCTGGCATACTGTCAATTAACTTCTGGGCCACATCCTGACTGATGGCAGCCCATTCTTGCATAATCAATGCTTGGAGTTTGTCAGAAATTGTGGGTATTTGTTTGTCCACCCGCCTCTTGAGGATCGACCAAAAGTTCTCAATGGGATTAAGGTCTGGGGAGTTTCCTGGCCATGGACCCAAAATGTCGATGTTTTGTTCCCCGAGCCACTTAGTTATCACTTTTGCCTTATGGCAAGGTGCTCCATCATGCTGGAAAAGGCATTGGTCGTCACCAAACTGTTCTTGGATGGTTGGGAGAAGTTGCTCTCGGAGGATGTGTTGGTACAATTCTTTATTCATGGCTGTGTTCTTAGGCAAAATTGTGAGTGATCCCACTCCCTTGGCTGAGAAGCAACCCCACACATGAATGGTCTCTGGATGCTTCATTGTTGGCATGACAGAGGACTGATGGTAGCGCTCACCTTGTCTTATCCGGACAAGGTGTTTTCCGGATGACCCAAACAATCGAAAAGGGGATACATCAGAGAAAATGACTTTACCCCAGTCCTTAGCAGTTTAATCCCTGTACCTTTTGTAGAACATCAGTCTGTCCCTGATGTTTTTCCTGGAGAGAAGTGGCTTCTTTGCTGCCCTTCTTGACACCAGGCCATCCTCCAAAGTCTTTGCCTCACTGTGCGTGTAGATGCACTCACACCTGCCTGCTGCCATTCCTGAGCAAGCTCTGCACTGGTGGTGCCCCGATCCCACAGCTGAATCAACTTTAGGAGACCATCCTGGCACTTGCGGTACTTTCTTGGGCGCCCTGACGCCTTCTTCACAACAATTGAACCTCTCTCCTTTAAGTTCTTGATGATCCGATAAATGGTTGAAATAGGTGCTATCTTACTAGTAGCAATATCTTTGCCTGTGAAGCCCTTTTTGTTCAAAGCAATGATGACGGCACGTGTTTCCTTGCAGGTACCATGGTTAACAGAGGAAGAACAATGATTTCAAGCACCACCCTCCTTTTAAAGCTTCCAGTCTGTTATTCTAATTCAATCAGCATGACAGAGTGATCTCCAGCCTTGTCCTCGTCAACACTCTCACCTATGTTAACGAGAGAATCACTGACATAATGGCAGCTGGTCCTTTTGTGGCAGGGCTGAAATGCAGTGGAAATGTTTTGGGGGGGGGATTAAGTTCATTTTCATGGCAAATAGGGACTTTGCAATTAATTGCAATTCATCTGATCACTCTTCATGACATTCTGGAGTATATGCAAATTGCCATCATCAAAACTGAGGCAGCAGACTTTGTGAAAATGTGTATTTGTGTCATTCTCAAAACGTTTGACCACGACTGTACATCCATACTGACACATATGGAGTCACATCCCAGGCCGCAAAAAGTATTCAAACAATCTCACACTCACCCTCACAGTATCATCTCCATGTCCAAGAAAGGGAAAGTAACTGAACTGAATGACTACCGACCCGTAGCACTCGCTTCCGTCATCATGAAGTGCTTTGACAGTCAAAGACCACATCACCTCCTCACTTCCTCCCTCCCCGACACACTCGATCCTCTCCAATTCGCCTACCACCCAACAGATCCACGGACGATGCAATCGCCACTGTACTGCACGCTGCCCTCACCCACCTGGACAAGAGGAATGCATATGTGAGGATGCTGTTCATCGATTACAGCTCAGCCTTCAATACCATGGTGCACTCTAAGCTCACCACAAAGCTCACGGCCTTGGGACTGAACTCATCCCTATGCAACTGGGTCCTGGAGTTCCTGACGGGCCGCCCCCAGGTGGTGAAGGTAGGCAATATTAATTCCTCCAAACTGATCCTCACAAGGTTTATTCCTCAGTCCCCTCCTGTACTCCCTGTATACCCACGACTGCGTGGCCTCACACAGTTCCAACTCCCTCATCAAGTTCACTGATGACATGACCATAGTAGGCCTGATTACCAACAATGACGAGACGGCCTACAGGGAGGAGGTAGGCACTCTGATGGTGTGGTGCCAGGTGAACAACCTATCCCTCAACATCAGCAAAACAAAGGGGCTGATTGTGGATTTCAGGAAGAACCAGGCTGGGCATGCCCACATCCTCATCAACGGAGCCGCCGTGGAGACAGTTGAAAATACATCTGAAATGGTCAAACCACACCGACACCGTGGTGAAGAAGGCACGACAGTGACTCTTCAACCTCAGGAGGCTGAAGAAATTTGGCATGTCTCTTAGGGCCCTCACTGTGTTCTACAGGAGCACCATCGAGAGCATACTGTCGGGCTGCATCACAGCCTGATATGGCAACTCCACTGCCGCAGACCACAAGGCGCTACAGAGGGTGGTACACTCAGCCGAATGCACCATTGGGTGCACACTGCCTGCCCTCCAGGACACCTACAACTCCAGGTGTCGCAGGAAGGCCAAGAAGATCATCAGGAACATCAGCCGCCCGAGCCACGGCCTGTTCTCCCCGCTTCCATCACTCAGACGCGGGCTGTACTGGAGCATCATGGATAGCACTAACAGACTGGCCAATATATTCTACCGCCAAACCATCAGGCTGCTGAATAAAATGCACTATATGTCACCACTCACCAGGTTTTCATTTTATAGTGACATAAAGGTTTAATACCTATTATTAACCCCGTCATTCTTCTCCCCCAGGTCTTTCCATAGACTACACAGCCAACAAGCTGTACTGGATCAGCTCTGGTAATGGCACTATCAACAGGTGCAATGTGGACGGTAATGGTCTGGAGGTGCTGGAGAGCATGAAGAGGGAGCTAACCAAAGCCTCAGCATTGGCCGTTATGGGTGAGTAGTGGTTAGTTTCAAACATAGTGTACCCACATCCAATTACTGGTGGTCCTTTGTAGCTCAGTGGGTAGAGCATGGCACTTGTAATGCCAGGGTTGTGGGTTCAATTCCCGGGACCACCCCTTTGTAAAATGTATGCCCGCATTACTGTAAGTCGCTTTGGATAAAAGTGTCTGCTAAATGGCATTTATTATTATCATCATATTAATGACTTGCAGGTGCTGGGTACACAAAATATAAACTCAGGAAATAAAGAATAGATATCTGCACGTTGATGAAGGCTCCCGCTGTGGTATTGTGCAATGTTTCGACCTGAAGGTCTTCGTCAGGCTTGAATAGTGGAAAAAGTCAGCCAGTAAATCAGATCCACGTCATGGATTAAGGGAGAACGTGGGGAGGATTACGGCCAAGGCATGATATGTGTTGCTAGTTGGCTCCTGGATAAAGATATTTAACCAATACTATGTTTTGACTGTGACAGTTCTGCTTCACACTGTGTGAAATTGTCTGGGCATTAGATAATTAAAATACTGGTTGGAGCTGCAGCTTGATTGATGTAATTAAAATGGATCTTCTTTTCAATAAGATGGCATTTCTTTCCCAAGACCATTTGTTTTGTTGTGCCATTGCACCATACATAATACAAAGACTCACGCATGAATGAACTGATTCCCAAACTTGGTCACACTTTAATGCAAAAGCCTATGTGTAGTCACAGTCTAGTTTAAGTTGAAAAGTTTGCAAGGAGTTTGGAATCTGTGAATGCAACTTTTTCAATAAACATTTAAACATAGTGGGAATAGAAATTAGAACGTTATCATTCTACATTATTTTTCCTCCACTGTCAACTAGTCAGCCGCATGGTAGTACTTAAATTGAAGAGAGGAAAGTAAAGTTTGTCCTCAGAGGATGACAAAACATATATGCCAAACATCCAAGTAGGGGAATGTTAATGGGATTGATTTAAGACCAGATGGAAAGGGAAAATTAAGACCACAGTGTCTCATAAGACATTTAATTCAGCACAAAGCATCTGGCTTCTTAATTGCATTACACTCGCTACACCATTTTGGATTCAGGATACATTATTTTTTTACTACACGTCCTAACAGTTACAATCTGGACAATTGGGAGGAAGCCTCTAGCTGTATGAAGGTACATGTCTGTTTGCCAGGAGTGGTAATGAGAAGCAGTGACAGAAGTTTGCTGTTTTTAACTTGGTGTTGACGGTCAGAACAGTTGTCAGAGGAAAAAATGCACTGTCCTTTGATATACGCCGTACTGTATTTAGTCATTGCAGTGCAGGCCTAGCTTCCTCGTTCCTCAGCGAACAAACGTGTGCCTCTCTCTCACTGTGAGTTTAAAAAGACCTAATTAGGCTGTCAGAAAGTAAAGAAACAAGTATAGAAGTTTGCTTCGTTACTTTATAGTGTCTGCTTAGAGTCTGGAGATATGGAAGTTGGAACAAACGTGACAATACATTCACTTCATACATTAAACACTTTTTAAGTTGGCAACCATTTTAGAGTTTTACTTTACGGAGGAAGTACAGTAAAGTAAAATGTTCTCGCTGTTAACATGGAGACTGAGCTGGAGACTTCATTATCGCATTCCACAAAATGTGAGCCAGAATGCAAGGTGACAAAGACTAATGACCTGATTTCAAAGCAGTAGAAGCGTACAGTGGAACAGTGGAATGATGTGTTCACATCAAGCCATCTATCACACAGTTTAGTTGTAATGCTTTTCATTGCTTTGACTGGCATATTTATATTCTGCCAAAGAAAGAGAACAATTGTGCAATGGTTTTATATTTTAAGTATTTATGCTGGATATTGGAAAGGAAGTGTGTGTGTGTGTGTTGTTTGTGTGTGTGTGTGTATGTGTGTGTGTGTGTGCGTGCAACATGTTTGTAAAACAGTCATCAACCCGGTGTTCATAACACTCAGTTCATAATGGCCATTATCATAACAATGTCAATGTGTGATGGTTATGAGCTTACTAATGAGAACAGTGTCACAGGTCAGACTAACATTTTGCAATGGCAATACAAAGGTGGCTGCATTTAGATTACCTTACACAGTAGCTGTGTGACTTGGCAAATTGTAACCCATGTCCATGGAATTGCAAATATTGTGTTTGAATACATTTTCCTGGCAACTTAATAGCAATTTGGTTCTAATTTCAAATCACATGAGTATATATGAGTTTTTTTATTCAACCAAAAAACTGAACAGATACAAACAGTCAACACCACATAATGTCATATAAAGATCTCTAGCCCATGATCAATCTAAAAGAAAAAATTAACATTTAGTAGATTATTATAGGCATTGGTTGAAGCTCAGTGTTAAATTAAAATATCTAAGCCAATATGAAACCAATATCAATTAAAATTATCAAATCAACTTGACTGGAGGTACACAACACACTCCCCACCTCTTGTCATGAGCCGACCCGCCGTTACTGATAACCACATACCGGATTTTTTAACAGGGTCGTTAGCAATTGATTTTGAAGAGTATTTCTTGTGCATACCTAGCTAAAATTCTAGGAATAAAACAAGACTATAGCGTCCATAAAGTGACCATTGGATTTAAAAAATACCGGATTTACAAAACGTGTAGGTGCAACAGTTTTTATTAAATTTAAAATGTATCACTCTCACATGCTCATTTCTGTCCATTAAAAACCAACGATGAGCTACCTTTTTGTAGCATTTCTGACAATGCTAACAACTTTTTTTTAGGCTACTGTAGATAGCTAGATATATTGTGGTATTCAATCTGAGGTTAATCAATAAATGCAAACCGATATTTTGATTAGCTAGGTAGCTAGCTAGCTAATGTTAGCTTGATTGTACAAAGTCCAGCAGCTAGCCTCTGTAGCTAACTAGCTAACACCAGTCAGCTGAAAGCTAGCTAGTTAGCTAACGGACAGGCAAAGAAAGGTAGCTAGCTATATTTGTTTATGGAAGGTTTGTTACACAAATAACTTCAGCCATTAGCTAGCTAGCTAGTTAGTTAGAGCCAGACAACAGCAGAAGCTAGCTAACGATAGCTAGTTCAACTCAGAATGCCAGTTCTAAATTTTTCCACAAAATATAGCTAGCTAGCTAACGTACATCATTTCAGAACCAACACCAAACTTTGGACAAATTGTCATGCTGCTACCTTACTATTCATGCAAGTTGCTTTTGCAACACTAGCTAGCTACTCCATAGTCCAGGCTACAGTAAGAGCTAGCCACGTTTCACTGTCAGACTAGACACAACTCAAACTGCTGAGAAAAATAATAGCTAGCTAGCTAACATTAACAGCGCCTCTGGCTCTGTTGTCCACTGACTGCAGTGTGCAAATGCATGCTTGCCTGCATCAGAAAGACTTACGCTACCAGTTTAACATCCATAATACATTCCAGTAAGCTCATTCTTCTGTCTACTTGACATTTTAATCCACATGTGTTTTGTGCCAAACTAACAACTCTGCCATGTGTTGGATATTTTTCAACTCTGCCGTGCACACCTTTGTGAATCTAACCACAATAAGGATTAGCCACAATAGTATAATTTGTAGTTCAACTTCAAAATAAAAGTATCCCATTGAAAGTGATTCACACTGATACAAATAGTGGAATAATGTCAACATTTTGGACTAGATAATGCTAAACAACGTCGGGATGTGGAACAGCCCTTAGCCGTGGTATATTGGCCATATACTTATTGCTTAATTATATTGTTGTATAATCACCTTCCGGTGTAAAAACCATGGAAATTAAAAACCCAAAACAATGTTGTAAGTGAGAATAGGCATTGGTCTGAAGCCGAAAAAGAAAGGAAATACACATGAGCGCCACAATGCCTATTCCACCCATGCTCCATACAATACCAACATTGCTACTGTAGTAGGTCAAAGCTGTGTGATGGAAAACCTTGGTAGATCATGGGTGGAATAGGCGTTGTGGCGCTCATGTGTATTTCCTTCATTTTCAGCTTCAGACCAATGCCTATTCTCACTTACAACATTGTTTTTGGTTTTTAATTTCCATGGTTTTATTACTGGAATTCTGACTTGAACTAGCTATCGTTAGCTAGCTTCAGCTGTTGTCTGGCTCTAACTAACTAGCTAGCTAGCTAATGGCTGAAGTTATTTGTGTAACAAAACTTCCATAAAAACCATGGAAATTAAAAACCAAAAACAATGTTGTAAGTGAGAATAGGCATTTGTCTGAAGCCGAAAAAGAAAGGAAATACACATGAGCGCCACAACGCCTATTCCACCCATGATCTACCAAGGTTTTCCATCACACATCTTTGACCTACTACAGTAGCAATGTTGGTATTGTACTTCAAACTATGTGTAGGCAGGATTCTTAGGATTCAAACCTTCTCAAACTAATTCATACTCTTGAGAGGGATAATGAACTTTACAGTGTCCTGCTATTAAAATGATGTACAGTACCAAGTTTGGAAACACTGTCACGCTCTGGCTCCGGGACTCTGTATGTTGAGCCAGGGTGTGTTCGTTCTGTGTGGGTTGTTTCTATGTTGGTTGTTCTAGGTTGTTGTATTTCTTTGTTTGAGTGACTCCCAATCAGAGGTAACGAGTGTCAGCTGTTGGCTCGTTGTCTCTGATTGGGAGCCATATTTAAACTGTCTGTTTTCACCTTGTGTTTGTGGGTTTTTGTTCCTAGTCAGTCATTGTCACTGTGGACTTCACAAATCGTTATTTGTTTTGTTGTTTCGTGGTTCGCTTTAATTAAATAAAGCATCATGTTCGTGCAACACGCTGCGCTTTGGTCTACTCCTTTCCAAGACGATCGTGACAGAAAAACCCACCTTAACCAGATCAAGCAGCGTGACGAGGAGAGAGGATGGACGTGGCAGGAGATGATTGCGAGTCTGGCAAGAGGGAGAGAGGCCTTGGCCAGGGGGAAAGTCCCCCAGGAAATTTTTAGGTGGGGGCTCACGACGTCGGGGCAGCAGGTGTACGGGGTAGAGTGGTGCAAAGCGTTGGCAGAGAAGGCTGCCAGGTTAGGGGGGCCACTGGGCACAGAGGAGAGGGAAAGTGTGGAGGCACGGCGAGAGGTACTGGGGTGTGTTACCAGTCCGGTCCGGCCCGTTCCTGATCCCTGCGTGGGCCAATGGTGTGTGTCCCCAGTACGGTCCGGCCTGTTCCTGCCATTCCCACCAAGTCAGTGGTGCGCGTCGTCAGCCCAGCCCGGCCTGTTCCTGCCATTCCCACCAAGTCAGTGGTGCGCGTCGTCAGCCCAGCCCGGCCTGTTCCTGCCATTCCCACCAAGCCTACGGGGTGCGTCGCCAGTCCAGCTCGGCCTGTCCCTGCTCCACGCACAAAGCCTACGGTGTGCGTCGCCAGCCCAGCCCGGCCTGTCCCTGCCACTCGCACCAAGTCAGGGGTATGAGTCGTCAGCCTGGTTCAGCCCGTTCCTGCTACTCGCACCAAGCCCGGGGTGCGAGTCGTCAGCCAGGTCCGGCCCGTCGCTGCTCCACGCACCAAGCCAAAGGGGCGCATCGTCAGCCAGGTCCGGTCCGTTCCTGCCTCACGCACCAAGCCAAGGGGGCGCATCGTCAGCCAGGTCCGGTCCGTTCCTGCCTCACGCACCAAGCCAAGGGGGCGCATCGTCAGCCAGGTCCGGTCCGTTCCTGCCTCACGCGCCAAGCCAGGGGTGCGCGTCGTCAGCCTGGTCCAGCCCGTTCCTGCTACTCGCACCAAGCCAGGGGAGCGAGTCGTCAGTCCGGCACAACCCGTGCCTGAGTCATCGGTGCCAATTCAGGTACCGCTCAACTGCTCCACTAAGGAGCTGAAGCCTACCGCTCCTGCTACGTCCAGTCCAGCTCCAGCCAGCAGGGCCAGACCGGACCAGGGGCGCTATGGGGGGTTTGTTGAAGGGTTTTGGTCAAGCCCGGAGCCGGAACCGCCGCCGAGGAGGTATGCCCACCCAGCCCGCCCCTGTTTTGCTCTTTTGAGGCGCGGTCGCAGTCCGCGCCTTTAGGGGGGGGTACTGTCACGCTCTGGCTCCGGGACTCTGTATGTTGAGCCAGGGTGTGTTCGTTCTGTGTGGGTTGTTTCTATGTTGGTTGTTCTAGGTTGTTGTATTTCTTTGTTTGAGTGACTCCCAATCAGAGGTAACGAGTGTCAGCTGTTGGCTCGTTGTCTCTGATTGGGAGCCATATTTAAACTGTCTGTTTTCACCTTGTGTTTGTGGGTTTTTGTTCCTAGTCAGTCATTGTCACTGTGGACTTCACAAATCGTTATTTGTTTTGTTGTTTCGTGGTTCGCTTTAATTAAATAAAGCATCATGTTCGTGCAACACGCTGCGCTTTGGTCTACTCCTTTCCAAGACGATCGTGACAAACACCTACTCATTCCAGGGATTTTCTTTATTTTAACTATTTTCTACATTGTAGAATAATAGTGAAGACATCAAAACTATGAAATAATACATATGGAATCATGTAGTAACCAAAAAAGTGTTAAACAAATCAACATATATTTTATATTTGAGATTCTTCAAAGTAGCCACCCTTCGCCTTGATGACAGCTTTGCACACTCTTGGCATTCTCTCAACCAGCTTCATGAGGTAGTCACCTGGAATGCATTTCAATTAACAGGTGTGCCTTGTTAAAAGTTATTTTGTGGAATTTCTTTCCTTCTTAATGCGTTTGAGCCAATCAGTTGTGTTGTGACAAGGTAGGAGTGGTATAGAGAAGATAGCCCTATTTGGTGAAAGACCAAGTCCATATTATGGCAAGAACAGCTCAAATAAGCAATGGGAAATGACAGTCCATCATTACTTTAAGACATCAAGGTCAGTCAATCCAGAAAATGTGAAGATCTTTGAAAGTTTCTTCAAGTGCAGTCGCAAAAACCATAAAGCGCTATGATGAAACTGGCTCTCATGAAGACCGCTACAGGAAAGGAAGACCCAGAGTTACCTCTGCTGCAGAGGATAAGTTCATTCGAGTTACAAGCCTCAGAAATTGCAGCCCAAATAAATGCTTCACAGAGTTCAAGTAACAGACACATCTCAACATCAACTGTTCAGAGGAGACAGTGTGAATCAGGCCTTCATGGTCGAATTGCTGAAAAGAAACTACTACTAAATGACACCAATAAGAAGAAGAGACTTGCTTGGGCCAAGAATCACGGGCAATGGACATTAGACCGGTGGAAATCTTTCCTTTGGTCTGATGAGTCAAAATTTGAGATTTTTGGTTCCAACCGCCGTGTCTTTGTGAGACTCAGAGTAGGCGAACAGATGATCTCCGCATGTGTGGTTCCCACCGTGAAGCTTGGAGGAGGAGGTGTGGGGGTGCTTTGCTGGTGACAC